CTGTTCTCCCTTTTTTCTATGGGTAGACCTGGTCTCCTTTTCCTATGGGTAGACCTGGTCTCCTTTTTCAATGGGTAGACCTGGTCTCCTTTTCCTATGGGTAGACCTGGTCTCCTTTTTTTGAATGGGTAGACCTGGTCTCCTTTTTTGACGGGTAGACCTGGTCTCCTTTTTTTGACGGGTAGACCTGGTCTCCTTTTTTTGACGGGTAGACCTGGTCTCCCTTTTTTGACGGGTAGACCTGGTCTCTTTTTGCTCAGTGTCGCCGTCTTGTGGTTACCCTTGGGACTGCACCTCTGCAGGCCAAAAGGGACATCTTTTGGGCACGGAATGGACACTTTGGGGGCAAAAACCAGACCAATCGCTGCTCGACACCTAGCAAATTCCCAGCCTGGACAAAAGGCATTTCAAAACACACCTGCCAAATCACCACCTTTTCTGCCCATTGCTCCCTTCATCTTTTCCCTACTTTCTGCTTTTTGGAGAGGACTATGCTTTGGCATGGCACACTTGGGCAATGTTGGCACTTTTCCCTAAGTGGGCAGAGACGTCAGGATCTGGCATTCCCTGGGGAATGGCCTCAGCTGCCCTTTGGCTCCTGCACACCCTCCTCTGCTGCAGCCTCCATGGGCTCTCATCCTGTGCTGCTCCTTGCACCCTCCTCCCTCCTCACGGACTCCAGAAGATTGAATTAAAGAAGGGTTGAATTTAAACTTCAAAAAGATGGAAGTGCCTTCTATCTCCTTACTGATCTGGATTTCCCCTCTTCTCCCAAAGTGGAGAAGAAAAAGGGCCCAGCTGACAGGGAGCTGTTGGCTTGATGGACAAGAGGCCATCAAAGTGCAGCCTGGGCTAAAGCAGTTGGACTGAAAAAACCTCCCTTCACTGCATAGTAGAGCAATATTTTGAGAGCCATCTTTTGTTGTCTAGTGACTTAACAGACCTATGGACCAACAGTTAAGAGGCTGTTCTTTACTCCCACTGCAAAGTGACTGAATGTATTGCTCTGTTTTTTGAGGGGTAGACCTGTTCTCCTTTTTTAAGCGGGTAGACCTGGTCTTCTTTGTTAAGTGATTAGACCTGATCTCCTTTTTATGAAGGGTAGACCTGTTCTCTTTTTTAAAGCGGGTAGACTTGTTCTCCTTTTTTAAGCGGGTAGACCTGTTCTCCTTTTTTTAAGCGAGTAGACCTGTTTTTTTTTAATGCGGGTAGACCTGTTCGCTTTTGTGTGGGCAGACCTGGTGTCTTTATCGAAAGGGAAGACCTGTTCTCTTTTAGGTGGATAAACCTGTTTTTTTGACGGGTAGCCCTGGTGTCTGAGTCGAAAGGGTAGACCTGGTCTCTTTTCAGCAGGTAGACGTCATGTCTGTGTGAAAAGGGTGGACTTGCTGTGTTTCAAAAGGGGTTGACCTGCCCTCTAGTTTTAGCAGCAATACCTGTTCTACCTCTTCAAGAGTTACACCTGCTCACATGCCCAATTCTACTTCAGCCTCAGAATGCCATCTATGGAAATCTTTCAATCCTTTCAGGATTAAGAAATATTCCTCATGATATCAACCCAAGACAAAGAAGTGGTTTCCCCTTAGCAAGAAAATAAAGAACATGTGCAAAACCTTGAAATCCCAGGTGACTGCATTCTTTATTCTTACTGGAACTCTCTTCTACCTTTTCCTCTCAGAGAGTCCAAGTGAGATGGACAAGATGAGTCCGGGATCACAGGCCTCTGAAACCGAAGAGAAAATCATCTGGCCTTGGAGTAGACTGGTGTAGCTGTGAATGCTTCCAAAGCAGTAACAAAAGAGAATTGTTCTCTGCCACTCCCATTGCTTCCCATTTCAAACCCCAAAGCCACAGAAAACCCTTGCCCAGCCTCTGGACAGCTCTGCAGCACATTTCACCTTTGGTTTTCTTTCTGTGCAAATCTAAGCCATTTGCTTATTGGGCGTTATTGTGGAACCCTTGGCCTCCCCCTCCCCCCTCCCCCCCTCAATTTTGGGGGTCCCTACTTACTTGTGGGGAATTCCCTGACATTTTAGGGTCCGTTCCTGGTATTTCTGGGTGTCCCCTCCATGTTTTGGGGTCCCTTCTCCCACTTTTGGCAGTCCCTACCCACTTTTGGGGGTTTCCCCTCCTACTTCTGAGGGTCCTCATCCAACTTTGTTGGACCCCACCTATTCTGGAGTCCGTCCCTGATATTTTGGGGCTTCCCCTCCAATTTTTTGGGTCCTTGGGGATCTTCCCCCTGCTTTGGGGGGCCCCACTCCAATTTTTGGGGTCCTCCCATTTTAAGGGGCACCAAAAAGGGGTTTTTCTCTTCTATTTCAATTTTAATTTCCTTTCTTTTTCAGTTTTCTTGGGTTTTTTATTTTTTTCATTTTATTTTCTATTTTATTTTTTCTTTTCATCAGAAATCTTGAGGGGGTACTAGTTTGTGTGTATTTAAGTCTACAGGTGCAGAGTTTGACCTGACTGTTATTGGTGGTAGCAACTCTGGAGTCTTTCCTCAGGCCACCCAGCTGCTTTACAGTCTAAGCTGGCACCTCACTGTGCAGGACTTGTGCCATTGAGGTGAGCACCAGCACATCCCACCAACCTTCCCGCTCTCACCATGGATCCAGTCGTACCCTCATGGGACCATGGCACAACAGAGAGGCTGCTCCTATGTAATTCACCATTGCACACAAACCAGAGAATAGGTTCAAAGTGTATGCAACATTTTATTGAAAAAATACGAATGTTCTGTACATAAAGTACAACTTAATGGGCTTAATAAAATCTCCAGAGACTTATCGGTTAATACAGGTCTTCTTTTCTTCTTTTCCCTCTAAGGGCATAAAGCACACAATGAAGCAGCAGGTCCCTTGTACTTGTGCAAGTGCCATCGCATCGCTGTGCATGCAGCATAGCACCTGGCTCCACACACAGGGCTCTAATATGCTCAGTGTACTTTGATAGATGGTCTGCAAGAAATTTAAAGCATGAAAGAACTGCCCACGACTGGTCCTTCAATTCACTGATGATTCAGAATTTATTGTGAGATCTCTGTTCTCCTAAACAGTCTGCATCTGCATATCCAATATTTCTGACAAATAAATACAAAAATAAATAGGGATCTGGCCTCACAGAACCTGAAGTCTCGGAAGCAACACAACCTACAGTAAGCTACATACATAATTTCCACTATATCAACATAATTTATTTAAATCTCTATCAATAAGTGTATTAAAAGTATAAATTCTTATCCAATACTGAGAGTTTAATTCTGGATATAAACCCAGAAAAAGAAAGCTTTTTCAGTCCTCTCTTACAATTTAGTGTGCTCTTAGAAAATGCTTTATAGTTGAACTTCAGCAGAAACTTGCTGCTATATAATGTACTTCTATTCCCCAATACTAATAGAAAAAGCTTTTTAAATCTTTTTACAGTAACTGGCTTTCATGTCCTAACTTTACATACAGTTACTAAAAATACTGCACACAGCAGTGCTGACTAAAAATAGGTTTAGTGTTAAAAGTACATGCACAAATGCTGGAGTACCAAAGCAGAAACTGAATAATGTGGCAGCTTCACAATTAATTTATGTTGCTAATTGGATGGTGTAACAAATACCACAATCCCAAGATATGTATGTTGCAAATGGAAAGACAATGAGTAGGATTGGATTAGGAGAAGGGCAAAAACCTTTCTTCTTCTCCATTTAAAACTGGAATGTCACCAAGAAGGTAAACGTTGACCAGTGTTAGAAGCTTCTAAATCAGGAGTAAATGGTGATGACTTCTCGGCCGCCGCCTCTAACAAGTAATACCCTCTCCAGACCCTCAGTCAAGACTTCTAGAAACTCCATGTCTGTTTCAGAAAAGTCAAGGACAAAAGAAATCAAAACCAAAATACAGTGATTAGCCTCTGTATTGGGTTTATGTGGTAACACTTATGTGAGATGAGACCAGGGCTGTCCCCCTGTCAGACAGTTTCATCCAGCTCCAAAACAAACTTACCACTGCCTAAAGCTGAGCCTGTCAGAGATGCTGGTGGCACCAGGTCACAGAGTCACACTCCCTCCCATGAACACTGAGCAGTTTTCAGTCGCAGTGGCTCAACTTCCCTAGGCGGGGGTGGAGAAATATGCATCCTCACCCATTACCTTGAGTTTAAAATCTCTCCTGAGCTGCAGTAGCTGCGATGCAAACCCCTTTATTCTAAGAGGCATGTTTTTATCCTTTCTTGTGAAACAGTTGTTACAACTACTGCTACTAGATTTATCTAGATTCACGGGAAAGTAACCAATTGGTCTGTGACTAGTGACATCTTTTTTTTGGCACACGCTAAATTAATGGTACAAATCAAGGCTGAAGAGCAGTTGTGGACAGGAGATTGTGGTACTAACAATCTCTCTCCTGTTAACATACCTCAGCTCTGATCTTGCTTAAGGGAATGGTGCAAGAACCTTTAAGAACCAAAATACTGTGACTGAATTTTTATCATACCAGAGCCTTGTACTTGGACCTAAGCCCCAAACTCTGATGTGTGAGTGTGCCTGAGATACTCCCTTCTCTTTCAGGACTTCCTTTTGGCTCAAGTTCAGACACTGCTCTGCCCAGAGCACTGGTTGCTGTGAATGCCTTCTTAAATATCTGCTATATCCACTATAGAGAATTAAATTAAACTAACAAATAAAATCAAGTAAGAATTTAGACAAGACTAAATTTCAACCTTCAAACAAGACTTCCATCAAACCAGTGGCAACTTCATCACATATCACACCTCGACAGTACTGGTGGCAAAATGAATTCAAGAACACAGATTAAAGAAAGACCTTCTGTGTGGCCCAGGTCTCGCCCGAAAGGATACAGTTTTCATCCCCATCAGTATTCTTTGGAGGACCAGGCATGTTGAGGAGCACAAGTCTGGCATCATGGGATCTATTTACAATAACTTCATTTAGCTTCACTGCTGTGTGCATCCTTCGGACATTAGACTGGTTCCTGTAGAAAAAGCACATTCAGACTTATTGTTAAAAACATGCCTCTGAAAACTGAAATATTAAAAAGGCCCTTAAAAGCACACCTTAAATCTTCTAAATACGCTGAAGAATGTCAACTCAACACACAGTGTTTTTTCACAATTCAGATACAAAAGAGATTTCAGAGTTCTTCAAGTACAGCTAGTCTGTTGGTAGGATCTCCGGAGTCAAGCCATCAGTTTACAAAGCTACTTTGTTCTTCAAAAAGTGCATTTTATCAAGATGATTTAGTCTTGCATAAGAAGTTAAAACGCAACTGTACAAGGGCATGTGCTTGTTGACCATGGACACCTGTGACTGTAGAGCCTTCCCTTAGGGTAGCCCTGTCCAGAACCCCTTGCACCCATGGAAGCACAGGTCACGCACCTCTCCATTCTCCGTACCAGAAAACTCCTTCTCAAAAACATCAGGACCAAGTAGAAGATTGGCACCATTGCACTCCACACTTCCCTCTTTTTGTTGAACAGCAGTTGGCAGCTCCAGAGAAAGCCTGGTTTACTACAGACTGTAATCACATGGTAGGGAAATACAGGATTGCAGCCTACAAAGGGCTAGATGTATGTCCGCTATAGGGCTTTTATGGAGAGTAATAAGGATGTGACACTCTCCTTCAGCTGGACACTAATCCACCTCTCTGCCTGGCTATTTACAAAAACACTTCTACTCAGGTATCCTTAAAATCTCAATCATGCTTTCAAAGTTGAGTAGACACTTGTTTCAAATGTTATGGGAGAAACTGGAAGAGATGTATGATCTCATATGCCTCCGCTCCTTAAGAATCCAGGCTAAGAGAGGTAATAGCATTATTTATTCAGAATACATTAACACAAAATAACATCAGTTCATGCAGGAACTGAACTTGAAAGCATCCTTTGGGGATTTAGAGTCAGGGAACGTTTCCTTCTTACAGGAAATCAAACACTATTTTGGTAACATAAAAGGAAATACAATACAGAAATAAACTTATCAAAGGGAGAATTTATTTACAGCTTTGAGGATTTTCCACTTGGGTTTCTTCCTTCATTTTAATATATTAAATACAAGTATTAGTAGAAACAAATCAAATATGAATTCTTTGGTTTCGTTAATTCAGTTTTGCATATTATGAGTGAAAGTCTTTAGAAACTTCACTGCTCTTCTCAATATTCAGACTTGCAAATAAATAATTTATATAGTTAGAAAACAGAAGATGCAGTGGGAAGAATCATGTTTATTATACTAACAGCAGAATTTACCCACTGTGAACTATCTCGCTGTTACTTCATGTTCTTATTTAATTTGGAGCAAGGACACCCTCTGTCTTCACCACATCAGCTTCAGAAAGCCCAAGTATGTTTACAGGACGTGAGGAAGAAACCAGCAGCAGGAACACATCTGTCATTAACTGTGTATAGCTTTGGAAAGGGAATTGAAAACTGAAGATTTGGTTTTCTCTAAAGTGATATTTAAAAGTGGCATCTCCCCAGTGATTCAAAGGTGTAGGCTATAAGAAAGGGCTTGCTTAGTGTCCAGAAACTACCAGAAAAAACATCCTAGCAGTACTGTGGAATGAGTTTCTCTAAATGAGTAATGTTTCCCCCTGCCTGTGTCATACTCTGCTTAAGAAAACAGGTTCAGACCTGTAATTGTTTTCTATCCTTAGTTCTTGTCAGGGCAACTCGTGTAGTTTGTTACAACCTACTTATAATAATTCTTAGCTTAAGTAGCTAATTCTGTTCCCTTTAAAACATTGTTAAGACTGCTCAACTCTAATGCCTTTTCTTTTCTTCCATCGTTACATACAATTTTCCTGCTTTTAGCTGAGAAAACGAAGTCTTCCCTCTCAATCATCTTAATGTACTTCCAAGTTAAATAACAAACTTACAAGTTTTCCCACTCTCTGAAAGCATGGAAGAGGAAAAAGTACAGGTAGTTAACACCAAATTCAGCAGAATTGCTACAGTATGATTCAGCCTAAAACAGAATTGAATCATGATTTATTAGGAAGAAAAATCTGGAACTCTGCCAAATATGCAAAACTGACTGACTGAACTCCTCATGTAATATGTAGGACATCAAAGTCGTCACAGGAGATTCAGACATCTTTATACAAAACCAAAATAAACCTTTACTTCTAGCTCCTCATGGGGCACACACGTGGTAATCACAGCTGTTGGTACGTCAGCGCTCCTTCAGCATCAAGTCTGTCTCAGAGGGTTTTATCACACACATATTCTATTGCAAGTTATTAATCACCATTTCCACAGCTTCTTCCTTTCTGCCTTAAACATCCACAATACCCATTAGATAGCGAAGTTATCAGACTTTTCGTTTAATTCTGATTAGATCGGTGAAATTATCAGTCTGATGTGTTTTATGGAGGTATTTGGGAGACAAGGAAAGTTGTTATAGGATTTTTAACAGCTCCAATTTGAAATTTGACTATACCAAGTAAAACACTGAGGGATGTGTGCCACATTTAATTGGTTAGAGATTTCTCGGGAGGCTAACTGCTGTCTTTTGAGTAGTCAGGTCTTAATGTTGTGCAAGTCTAAACCAAGGATTATGAAACAAAAGATAATAAAAGCAGAGCACATGTAGAGTTTCAGGAGGTGCAAGGTGTTCACTTAGACAAGACTCACGGCTTAATGCTGATGAGATCTCTAAAGCTTCCCACAGCACTGCCTCGGTTCCGCTTCTCAGCATCACATTTCTCTTTTGTCCAGGTCATCTGGATATTCTCAGGAACTGGGTCCCCCTCATCTTCTTCATCTGAGTAGAGGCTCTCCAGACGTGCTATGGAATGCCTGTCTTTTACCAGCTGAGCCTAGATGGCACATGAACAACAAGCTGAACTCAGAGACTTTATTTTATGCTCTCTCTGGTTCTCTTCAAGCAATGAAAGGCTTTTTGTTCCATTGTATCTTTTATTCTGTCCAATCAATTTAGCCTTAAAGACAGCTCTGATAGCAGGCATCTGATCTAGCCAATAACCTTACATACTAAATTGACTTGAAACAGTTTTGATGGGCATAAGCTGTGCAGAATTTGGACTGACAGAGGACTGTATCTATACAAGAAAAAGAAGTCAGTCTCACTCACATTATGACACGGTCAGAAACAACAGACAAGCCTGACTCAAAACTGACAACTAAAATAACCTGGACAAACACATGCAGAAAAGTTAGATCATCTGCACGTTTCATAGTTGTATGTCCTGTAAGTCCAAACTGGAATGACACCTTCAGTAGGAAAACAGAATATGCTACAAATTGAGACAAATACCAGATATCCCATAGAAAGAAAAAGCAAGAACTATATGCAATTTGGGAAAATAAAAAAGCTACACTAAAAGTATTTCCTTGCATCTTCAGAAAAATAAATTTAAGCAGGAGCTATATAACACACTACCAGGAAAGAACCTTTGTGTCATTCCCCTCAGCAGCCCAGAGCCAAGAACCACAAATGACATACCTCCCTTTCCCTCTCAGTTTTTGTCAGCCTCATTTGCCTCAGCATCTGAGATCTCTGCTCCATCATAAGAGTTCTCTCGTAAGTATATGCTGAGATATCACTATTATGCTGCAGAAATAAGGACAAATATTATGCTTGTAATCAAGTGATAACCAAGTATCATCACTTGCATAATAAAGTGAAAAATGGGCTCAATTCCCTTACCATTTCTACCACTTCTACCTCTGCCTCTATTCGGAGTTGATAGAGGAAAGTAGCCAAATCCTTCTTCATCTGGATGCTGTTATCATCCATCTGAGCTACAGTAAAAATTCTCATTTTGCATTTTCTCCAAACCTGGTGAGAGAAAATAAACTCAGGATTTGAACCAGCAATATTCTGTTCTACAAAACAAACTTCGTAATATATCCACTTGCATTTATCAATACAAGGTCTACTACTGGACTTTGTTTCTTTAAACTAATGCACGTGGAAGTTAAGTAGGTTCTGACTAGCTGCTTACTTTGTGCTGTTTGAGAAGAAAAGGAAGCAACATCAACATGCCTCCATCATGCACAATCCACCACACATCAATGTTGCCTTCATTGTAACGTTCATGGTTGCTGGGGTAGAAAGACACATTTTTGGGAACCAGCAGAGCCAAGTGGGCCGCAGTTGTGCAACGAACAGTACCTGGCCAAAAGGGGAAGAACACAGTTACTTCCAAGTCTGCAAGAGTGATCTATCAACAAAACAAACAAACAAAAAAGTTACTCACTGAGCAAATGTCAGCAAACCATAAAACTAATCACTTAAATAAAGTTTATACAGTAAGGCTTGCATAGACAGGGTGGTCCAAATGACAAAGCCAGGATAAAGCAAACTCACCGGAATACAAGCCCTATTTCACATTTGAAATAAAAGCAGCAATCTCCAAAGCTAAGTATGAGGAGAAATCACCTCCACAGGAGAATGAGAGGGATAGAGGCAAGGAGAGTGTTATTCAGTAGTGAAGGATAAGTTAAGAGATAGATAATCTCTGTGACAAGACAGAGATTACCTAAGAAACAAATTATATTTTGCCATAAAACCAGCATCTCTTAAGTCCATAATTTTTTAACCATGAATTTTAGCTGCCAGATTAATCTTTGAGCATCTTTCATAGGCATTTTACCTACAGGAACTGATATTTCAAACAGAGCAGTTTTGTGAGAAATTATCTACTTCACCATCAATACTAGAAAAAAGGAGACTAAAACGCAGAACCAATTTCACAAGGATACTGTTGAAATCCCCTTTGTTTACCACGTGTGTAATAAACATCTCTGTTCACAACGTCTGATCACACAGAGCCTTTAAAGCTCACCTATAAATGTCTTCCAAGACCTTGGATCTTCACTTTGTCTCCAGCCATAGGGCCATCCCAACACCACAGTGTTATGCTTCATGCCACCTAGTCCACAGGACTGGATCAAGTGAGCAATTCCTTCCCGAACTTTATTGGCTACAACTACTTGACAAAATCCCTTAACCTTCTCAATTTCCATCATATTCTTAATAGTCTGCAAGAGAGACAAGGATAAACTGCAGAACCGAAAGGAATTCCTAGTATTTCCCAACCATGTGATTGCTATGTAAATTCCTGGTCCACGTGCCCATAGGTAAAACACATTTCAATGCAAAGTTCTGCTCATCTGCTTTCCTTAATAAAACAAAAGAGAAAATACCCACTAATCGTGTGTAATACTTGTTTAAAATAGAGTTTTCTTCCAAACATAATAATTTCTAATATATTAAGACTAGGGTCTCTTTTTTTGTGCCATCATCTCCTATTCATAACAGTAGTTAGCGATATCTGGGTTACTATCTCACTCTCCATTTTCTAATCCTGTAACACTCACCTTTTTTAACCCAAGGCCAACTGACTTCATTTGGATTTCCAGTTTCTGATTATCAAATAACATGTTGTGTTTATATTATATTTACAAATATAAGCACCAAATCCCACACACCTATCAAGTGTACCCTTCATTTGTTTAAAAACTAAACTTGGTCAACACATGGCCCATGAATCAGTTTTTCTTTTGTAACAATTTTCCTATAAATGTCAACAATTTTCCAATAAAATGCCTCTGGGGAAGAAAATAGATCTGATGATGCTATACAGATGTAAACAGGGCTATGATATCATGTTTATAGAATGAGGAAGATTAAGTAATTTATTAACAAATTTTCAGGACCATCCTTCAATGCTTTTTGGAATAAATTTATCAACACATTGAAAAATGTAGAGCACATTTGCTAAGTTTGACAGTCAGTAAAATGCTACTTGGGATGTTCAGAAAGCTAAATAGTCCTCCTCCCTCCATTAAGCAGCATGCAGAACTTCCATAGTAATTATTTCTTATAAATTAAGACAGTTATATGCAGTAAGGCTGTTTACACAACATGTGAGCATTGATCTTGCATTCCCTGAGCCACGATTGGCAGCTGAACGATGTTTGTAAGCCCTTTACTAAACAGCTGTAGTACTGCTCAAGTAGCCCTACGTTTCAACACGCTTTTTTCCATGTATGATTAAGAAACAAAATTTTGCATTACCTGCCCACTCACCCCTTTCTACTTCAGGAATTTGTTTAAGACACTGACCTGTTCAGCAGCCTGGGCTTCTCCATAGGTTTCCAAGAAATTCCCTTGGATCACTGATCCTATGATAGTCAAACCTTTACCAGCTTTCAACTGGGATGCAAATGTTAACAATCTAGGGTATTTTACATGCAAATCTTCGTCAAGTTTCAGAAGCACCAGCAACTGAGGTCTGGAGAAAATAAAAAAGGCAATGTCTTTTTTAACTAAAGCTTTAACAAAAACACTTGTAATAAACTGCTTCTCATCACTTACATTTTGCTTGAATGTTAACTCTGAAACAATACATTCTTTCTGTATCTCACACATTAGAAGAGTTTTACTTAATATTTTATTTCTCCTGATTAAAAGCAGAGGTGAAATATTGTGGTTGCTACATTGTGTTGACAGTCATAAAACCCATTGATACACCTAGGTTAAGAAGCCTGCATTAGCATTTTATTTACAGGCTTGTCTTTCAAGGTTCTTTTAAGTACTGTTAGAGTACACAATATGTGTTCATACTTCAAGGTTGTTCTCCCAGATCTATCTGGATACTTTTGCCAAGAAAATATCTGTAATCTGTATTCAGAAATCTGGCACATGGAAAACATGAATATTTTCATCTAAACACAGATCCCACCTGTCTTCTGTCCCTTAAGGTGTTGCTACATAGCTACATAGCTACATACTGTCTTAAGTTATGGTTGAGTAAGTGTAAGAATATTTATAAAACTCTGTCTTGGGTAGATTCCTAGTCCTCTCATTCAGAACCCACAAGTTGCACAACGCCCAAGAGGAGGGTTCTTGCCCACTTAATCTGTTTTCAACACATAAAGTTAGAGGGAATAATGTTGGTCACTGTTTCAGATTCTTGACCTCAGGACCTCTGTACTCACAGACTCCACAGTTTCCCCAGGTTCCACTTCTGAATTCACCAATTTTGAGTCCAACTAAAGATCCAAAGGGCATGAAAGGTCTGCCTATACAGGGCCCATAGAGCAGGGCTTGCCAGTGACGAGGCAGCTTACTGCAGAGTCAACACTTCTTTTTTTAGCATTCTGGGTATTTAAATTCATAAAGCTTCTTGTTTAGAGTCCAGTTCAATTCATTAAGTGTAAGTAGTTAACCATGACAGTGCATTTTATCAGTCTGAGATGAGTACCTCCAGTTCTTTGTGTGTGGAGGTCCCTCCTCCAGTCTGAGTAAGGCATATCTTGCTGCGCTGAGTGAAAGGCCCCGTATACCATCACCCCACTCCTTCTCTGCACTGTGAAGAACACGCAGTTTAGCCAACATGTGGTTCCATGAGCATTTAACTGTACACCTACAGTCAGGCTATAGACACATCATTACCTTAAAATGAGTTTAATAACGTGATACATAGCACACATCACATGTATATTTATCATTTGTATATGAATGTCTGATATCACATGAGAAAAAGGCAAATGTTTCAGTCAAATATATATGACAACACCACCATTCTGGACTTAATTTGTAATCAACACTCCTTGATTGGAGAAAGTTTCCCAAGCACATACAAACATCTGGCATTTCAATACCTGCTTTAGTCATTAAGTAAAATTAATTTATACAGCCATACTACAGCCTGACTCCATTCAACATTATCAGTCTTGGGCAACCCAATCTGTAGATTCAGTTTTGCAAGGACTGTTCTTGACAGACCTTTGCACCAGATAAATTGGAATTAGATATTGCCATCAGCTGTTCTGGGCCTGAAGGAATCATGTGCCATAGATATCAGGAAAATAAACCCCAATCAGTTTTCTGCTTCCCATGACTCAAGTTTCACCAAACACCTTTAGAGGTTTAACAACAAAGCACTTTAGGGGCTTTTGTTTAGCACTGACACAGCAAAACAATTAAAAAACATGAACTAATAAAGAATGCCTTCAAGTTATCTCTGTGCAGTTCCTTCTCCAAAAGTGAACACTTGAGATAATTCATTAAAAACTAGATCCAATTTCCCTTCCTAACCATTTTTATCATGTTAATACTTACCCTTGGTATTCAATGTACTTGTAAATCATGCCTGCAATAAGCATTGCTACCAAAGCATAATACCAAGATGAAATGAACATCAATGCCAGGCAAATACTCATGCCTAAAAATGAGAGGGCCCTAAAGGAAAAAGCAAAGGTATTACTAATTAGTGGGGCAGAAAAAGCTTTAAAACAAATTACACTCTCGTTTTTTTTTCTTTAAACTGTCTATTCTAAACTCACAGTGAAAGTAAAGATTCCAAGGGATCTCCCCAGTCCCCATTAGTTTTAGTATCCTGTTGTTGAAATTAAACTCTCATGCCATTACATCTGGGTTTGGTCCACTGAGAATATCACATCAATGTACTGCCAACTGCCCTCACGGAGAAGGTTCTTCTCAAGCCCTCACTGCAGATTACAGGCTTGGCCCTTTCCTTACCAGTGATAGTATTTGAAGCGAGGCCGCCAGTTTGGAGTTCGCAGAAGTGTCTGTACTGCACATGCCAGATTAACAAAGAGGTAACACATCAAGAAAAACCTGTGAAAGCAAAAAAAGTGCAAAACCTTTCAGAACACACATTTATAGATTCTGTTGCATACAATCACAAGTAATTTATAGTCAAAATCCAGCTGCTCTGTCACATGTGCCTGTGATTTTTATTAGCCTGGACTATTAGCATAAAGTAATTAGAACAATTTTTTAATTAGATCAAGTTAGATCTGTTCACTTCATCAGTGTTTTCTTTGCTCTGTGACAAAACTGTTTTCCCAAACCAAATAAAATACACTAAAAACTTGACTATTCGCGGAATACTCCACAGCAGAAACAAATGTACACGAAAAGCCTGAAGTCAGAGGATTCATACAAATAATGACAGTGAAACTCAGACTCCAGTAATTTGCTTTATGGTTAAAACTATGGTTCTGAAAGACAATCAAACTAGCAAAATTCAGAAGAGTATTCTTAATCCCACCCCTCCCTTAACAGCAACCAGCCTGTTTCTTACATTGAGAGAATTGGAGCCACCATGTCAAGTGAAGCAATAAGGATTCCCAGCTCAGCAATCAATGCTGTTAACAGAAGAGCCCATGTCGGTTCACCATTAGCTTTTCCATGACCAAAGATCTGAAGAAACAGAAACATTAAGCATATCTGCCAAGTATTTAAGGCTGTAATGGAAAAAAAGCAGATTACGTTTTTAAAAACAGTAGTTATTTTCCTACATAATTCCTTCTCTAGAACCAGGAGTCAAGTTATTCTAATGTCCTTTTATGCTTCATTGAATTAGCTGTTCAACTTCCTGATAAATTACCATATAACATCTAATCAAACTCCATAACAGTATTCCTCGTTTTTAACAAAGGAAAAAAAACATCAAAATAAAAAATATTGACCCTCACTTCAGTGCTGGGCAAACTACGGAAAATAAATCTAATTTCCAAGAGCATAAAGTCAAGCAGCTGGTTAAGCAGTATGTACAGAATGCATTTTTAAGATGTACGAACCCACAGGAAAGGGATGATGTTGTCTTTGGCTATGGCTTGCAGCAGCCGGGGGGCTCCAGTGAGGCTTTGCAGACCTGCCCCACACGTGGAGAAGAAGGATCCTATCACAATGACCCATGGTGAGGGCCATGACAGGGTACCCACCACCAAGTTCTTGTTCACCGCATCACCGTACCTGCAGAGAGGGACAGGGGGCATTCAGCTGAGACTCAGGTTTGGGTTTTTTGGGTCAGTTTTAAGATGTCATTTACATATTATTAAATACTATTAAATAATATTTTCTTGACCAGGAAATATTGAAAGTAGTAAACAAACTGAGTTACTTTTGATACACATACAGGAAGTGTCTGCAGCCTGATTCCAACAGTTTGAAAACTTTATTTTCATTATATATATTTTTAAATTTTTGTATTATCACAACATTATTTCTCACTTTCACCTAGAGAAACGCAGGATGGAAAATCTGAGGGAACCATGCCAGAAAACATCAAGTCAAATACAAGTTGATTCCCAAAACATTGATTACAATTTACATACAAATGTGGTTTTAAAAGGCACTCATAAGTAAAAGTCAAAAAAAAACTAAGGGCAGGGAGATTTACAGGAGGAAGGAGGTGACAAGATGGAAAAAAACACACCTACCTACTCTGCAAGAAAAGAAAAAGAAAGGAGAGCATTAAAGCAGTACAACTTACTTATCTCTCAGGACAACACCTTCTATGCAGGCTCCAAATAATAACACACAACTGAAGTCTTGAGGACAGAGTGTGCTAAGGAAGTAAGATTTCTTAAGATATGGCAGATGAAAAACCCCATAGAAAGTATTGTGGAAAGGAAAGTATGCACCTCCGTCCCACAGCATTTGCACTGCAGCATCTCCACAAGTACATCATAAAGCTGTGAGTAAATTAATGTCTCACAGTTCACAGAAAGCTTCTTATGTTAAAGTAACAAAGTTGTTCTTCAAAGTTTCAGTTTTTAAAAAAACAGTTTTAAATGTTCTGATAAAGAAGACAAAATCAAATGAGGCACTTTCATACTAAAATGTCAATTTAATCTTCTGCTAGTACAGAAGTTGATATTAAACTATCTTTCCTTTCTCTCTCCTTTCCCTGTGTCTGAAGATATTTTGAACATACAGCAACCTATTACCTTGCATGTTCTTATCTGGTCTCTGATGGCATTCACATCACCAGTAGGTCTTTGACTATGAAGTTTGTTATTAAACTGTACTGCTTCTGCATTGTGCAAGACAAAATGTATTCAGGTTTTTTGGATCTGGCAATCCATAATGTTTTTGACCCTGTGAATTAAGTTCACATGAACGGTTAAATCTTAAATTGTACCCCTGACATGCAAGTGTAAATTACGAAGTGTAATAAAAGGGGAAACATGACTCCCTCCTAAAAACCACGGTGTCAGGCTCCCACAGGGTGGCGTATGAAACCAACACATCCAGTTACTGAGTCAATTCTAAACTGCCAACAGAGTTGGGGGTTATGTCTGTGACCTGGTTTAATATTTATTATGTTCACAGGAAATGCTGACTACTTCATACAGGGCCAGTTCCCAAAATAACAACTGGGGAAGGCTATGTTCCTAAGAAGCTGAAGTAAGCAAGTTGGGATCCTGATTTACAGTTAGGCAAGGTTTGGCAAAAACCAGGAATGAAACAGCAGAATTTCCAGGAGAGTCACCATCTCAGTCAGCAGCCCTTTGGGTAGGATTTATTCAGAAAGCTCTTTTGACTTTTCTTTTTTTCTTTTTAATCTCCTATGTTGAAAGATTGTCATTTAGGACTCCAAGAGCTAGATGAAGCTGAAAGACCTCGGTTTAATCTCTTTAGCAGGAGAGCAGAGATGAAGACAATATTTCCTAAGCAAAGCCCTTGTGGTAGGTTGGATATTAGAAAGAAGTTCTTTACAGAGAGAGTGAGCAGGCATTGGAATGGTCACCATCCCTGGAGGTTTTTAAGATGAGGCTGGATGTGGCACTGAATGCCATGATCAAGTAATCACAGTGGGGTTGGATCAAGGGTTGGACTTGATGATCTCGGAGGTCTCTTCCAACCCAGTTAATTCTATGATTCTATGATTTAAGGTCAGAAGAGCTGAAGAAACCCTCGGGAACATCTAGTCTCATTTCTAACTAAAATGCTCAAGACAACCTATACTCCTTAAAGTCACTCCAAACAAAAGGCCTGAAAAGCTGTAGGTCACTGTGTAGCAAAGAACAGTAATGGCCAGTTTCGTGAGTGAAGATCCGGGGAAGGTCTTTACACCTTCCAGCCTGCGCATTTGGATTTTTTTTTTTTTTTTTTTAGGTGAGACACAGTGTGCGCGGAACCGAGCCCACCCTTTAATCCTAAGGTTCATCTGCCGGGGCCAAGCAAGCTTGGACGGTGGCAGCGAGGTCCTCAGGACGTAGATGGATTGCCTTTTTACAGGGTTGATGAGCTCCATCTGCCCGGGGAGTGTCCCTGACCGGGAATCGAACTTGGGCCTCGGTGGTGACAGCGCCGCGCCCTTAACCACTAGACCACCAGGGGCACAAAACAACAGAACCCACCACAAAAAAGCGGGACGGAAAGCAAGGTAATAATTCCAATGCTTTCAGCCCAAGGACTGTTGTTTTGTTGTTTGTTTTGTTTTGGTTTTGTCTACTGACAAGTCATACTCACACAGATAATTTGGTGACCTGAAAGCAGTTCCACAAACCAGATACAATGTACCAGCACTCTACTAATTATAAAAGGATACAGACTAGTGATGTGGTGACAATGGCAAGAATTGTTCCAACAGGAATGGATTTCTGTGCATCTTTGAGGTCCCCTGATCTGTTTGAACCAGCCATGATACCTGAAAGTACATTTTCAGGATATAAGATCATAGGGCAGGAAGAAGTTCAAAGCCCCAGGATGTCCTCTCATCCCAGCATTCTCACCAGTCACTGAAGGGAAGAAGATGCCAACCAGCACCATGAAGGAAGTAGCAATATCTGAAAGCACGTACAGGTGCAGGTTGCTTTTCTGGCCTGCTACATCAACAGATGGGTGATGTGCTTTCTCCAGGACCTCTCCTTTCTCCAAATAATTGCTCCATAAGTTGTCTTCAAGATTATTATCACACCACAGAAAACAAGAGTATGTTTCAGTTCAAACTCATTATATTATGTTCTCATTGTAATGCATCTACAACTGAGGATTACAAATGCAGTTCAGTGATCAACACAAATGAAGGCATATACAAGTTACGTGAAAGAAAATTTATACTGCATGTTTTCAAAGGAATCTGTGTAAGAAACCCACAAATGTATATCAATAGCCAAATGAAGTCTAAGCAACTTATCCTTTATTATTACTGAATGTAACATTCTTTCAACTTCATACCTATTTTAACCCAAGGAAATACTGAATATATTTACGAACCGCCATACCACACACAGTAGCTTAGAGAATGCAAAGTAGTAATACTTAGCAGCTCTCTAGACAGGAACAGATTTGTTCTTCAGTCAATGAAAGAATTACAGAATTGTATGTTTGGTATTTGAAATTTCACTAAAAAATGCTGAGTCCATTTTAGAAACCAGAATGCCGGTTTCTGTGGAAATGGGAACCTTCAGCACTCAGCACCTGCACAAAGCAGTTGTTCCCTGGAGTTCTTTTCAATAATGAACACTTTTCAATGACATTCTATTCAAGAGTGGGCAAAGCAGGAGACACACTATTTCTATACAAGTACTCTTATCATTCAGGACATAATCTTTAACCTGTCTAAACAGAGAGTTGTCACTATGCAGAGTTCTGAAAAATTTTAATAACTTACTCATGTTAGTATAATTTATAATTATAGTCAACTTTCTGCTGAAATTATAAGATGGACAAGGCAAATTTTATCAATTTTACAGCACACAAGTACTGTATCAGGACAAAAGTGCCCTCTCCTCTTTTTAAAGACTATAATATTTGGTTTTCTTTATTGAAAATAATTTCCTTCACTGTCATTACATTTCTTCAGTCCCTCTTTCTTAACCAGCAGGGAAGAGTTCAACCCATTTCAACCGCTGAGCATGCCTCCTCTTTAAGGGAAAAAAAAAATATTCTACCATACCTATTAAAATGCCACTAGCAGCTCCCGGAATTCCTGCTATCTCAGAGACATTGTTCATTAGGAAATATTCATCACAGTGTTCTTCAGTTAAGTTTGTAGTGTGGCAGAAAAGCTCCCAAAGCTTAGAGGCCATAGTTATGTTATCCTTAACTATGGTTTTGGCACAAACATCAAAGTGATCTCTTGACAAAGTCCTGTTGCCCAACATGCAAATTCTGGAAAGGAAACATGAACACCAGGGTTATTGTATGTTACCAGTAAAATAAAATCCACCCTTCCCCATAGTTCTCCTTTCATATCGTGGAAGCTTCAAGTTACTCTAGTCTCCGACATCATCAACAATGAAAACGAAAGAATAGGCCACTTTAGGTTGTGGGGGGTTTGCCATTTTTTTGTTTGTTTTGAGGTTTTTTTTGGTGTTTTGTTTTTGGGGGGGGAGGGCATTTTTTGTTAAAAAGAACTACTGAAGTGGAAGAAATTTTAAACGTACTAGAATTCAAATTATTTAAATATATTTGGAATCTCATTATCCCAGTTTCTGTATAGTAGCACTTGAATGACCCCTGACATTTTAGTTTCACAATTAGGAACATACATTTCAACCACAATAAGCAAGGGTCTTCTTGTCACAAGATACTGTCTGTAACTGCTAAAATCCTCCAGTGCCTGTTGTATTTCACCTAACCATAAACATCACTTATTCTAGCATTGAAAAAATGTTAATCCACTTCTCCAAAGACAGTTCCACAAGACGCAGTGATCCAACATCACAGCTTGCTGCTGCCAGAAGTTCATTCAGCTTCTCTTTATGGTGTCAGAAAACACCCATAGGAAAAGAAAAAGCTTTCTTCCATTTTAATACATTTAATTGTTTCATAGGTCTCACCGATCACTGAAGCCAGCAAAATGAAAGAGACAGGGCCATTTTTGCAGGCCCATGAACTGTAACTTCAGAGAAGCCTTCCCCTCCAGAATTAAAAATAAATACACTGTCTAGTGACTTTAAAAAAAAAAAATACAGCTGAAGGAAGAAAGATAGGGGAAAACATGCAAGAATAAGCCAAGAGATAACAGAGGGAGGTAGAGACACTGTTTTATTTTTATTGATGTAAACCTTCACTGTTTTAAAACACTATAATCATTGGGCCCTAAATATCCAAAGGGAGCACTTGAGTGTTGCAAGTACTTTGTTATAGTCATAACACTTTAAGAGGTGAATAATTATACAGATTCAACTCCTCTATTTCCCTTCTATTCATCTCTTGTCAGCAGTATCAGAAAATACTGTTTGCATTCCTGGTAAAACACATATATCCACATTATTGCTGCTCCAGCTCTGAGTTTAAGAAGCTGTATTACATGTTTAACTGCCATCATGCCAAGGAGCATATGGCTGTGTGCAGAGCAGGGTTCATGTGGCAGACCAGTCTGCTCCGAGACCAGAGTCTGACCATGGCCCCACCATCACATTCCTAAGAGGTGCCCTGTTTCTCACAGCTAAAAATGTTGGAAGTAATTCATTAAAAAGGTACCTTCAACAATGTATTAGGCACAAGCTGTAAGTAACCTACCATTAAACCCCAACTTCAGACCCATCAGCAAAGCTATACCCACATCCAGAAATACTACTCACGGAAATTCAGGTGGATCAAAGATGGACTTGATAGCTCCAGCATAAATGGACAGTATGGATATTACTACGCAGGCCAAGAAGAGGGAAGCAAATTTGTTTACATATTTGACACCTACAAAGACCACCACTGCCATTAAGATGAGGAATACAGTGCCATACACCCTCATGTTATTTAGCATGGCACTGGAAGCATCGTGGGCACCGGATGGATGAAAAATTGCTGCTTGTGGCACAATATATGTCTGAAATGAGAAAGCAAAAGCAAGCTGAAGGAACACTAAAAGAGAATTCTGTCAAGGATCATGTACCTATACTGGCAAGATAAATCACTTTCCATTTTGCAACATGCTCTTCACTGGAAATCTTCATCTGAACAGGAAAAGTCAAGAGATAACAGCCCACTCCACGTCAGTAGAACAACTGAGCCAACTTTATCAGTGATGAGTGTGAGTCTTGAATTAAGTCATACTTTCACATCTATGTTATCAGAAGGGCTTCCTGTCTGGACACCCACAGAGTGTGCAGCTTCCAAAGGGAAGCACTAACGGTACAGAATTGGACACCACAAAACTGGAGACCTTCTAGTCTCTTCCAGTAAATGTGTACACAAATATGGGACAAAAATACTGAGGTACTTTCTGTATGTTATGTGTCTTTAAAGCAGGACTACTCCAGTGCTACTCACCAATAAAATCTCAATGGCACCAAGGATATACATTGCTCCTGCAAATGTTGTTCCCAAATAGAAGCACAGCCCTACAGCTCCACCAAACTCTGGCCCCAGAGATCTAGATATCATGAAATAGGAGCCACCAGCTATGAAACAAGAAAAGTGAGAGTAAAACTGTAATTTACTGTTATAAGTTTTTAAATATTCACAACAAGAATACAACAATTTTATACTGTGTATCTGCTTTTCTGATATTCAATTAAGTATCTGTTTTGTTAGCACAGAGGTAAAAATCAAATAAGCCAATCTTTAGCCTTATTGATACTAAGAAGAAGTACTAGATATGAATTCAGGCTTTGTATCCTGGATTAAGCAAATTTCTCTGGAATAAAATCATGTTAACAGCCTAGAGCAACTTAGGTTTTGAGTTTTTTTTTTCTTTTCTTAGCACAAACGAGATATTTGCTAACCACACTTACCTGGAACAACACCATTTGTGGCAATAGCACTCATTGATATGGTTGTCAACATAGTCTGGGGAAAACAGGGAAAAGGAAATAATTATGTCAACAACACTTTTTAAAACATAAACTTCTTTCTTGATAAAATAAAGATTCCACTGTATAGAGAATACAGTATTTCTATTTATTCTGCCTGACATTATGTAAAAGAAAAAAAAAATAAAAACAAGGGCAGGAGGAATTTAATCATCAAGCTGTTGAGACTTCTGTTTGAGGGATGGCCACTGCTTTATCAGGTCAAACAGCAGGTGTCTGCAGACGAAGCAAGAGAACGCAGGTGTCCCTTCATCTACAGAGCTGCAATTCCAACAAGAGCTAGTCCAGCAAAGCAGGCAGTCCCCACCTGGGACAGGCATGGAAAACAGTTGTTTGCTGAAAAAACACAATTTTTAAGACTGTATCTACACTAGATAAACTTTGTCATTTTAGAAGTACTAGCAAAAAATAAACAAACAAACAAAAAAATCTCACAGCTCTGAACATCAGAGAGTGTCTAGCATAAATCTGGCTTCTCTTTCCACAGGCATCTACAATGCTGCCCCTCCAAGTTTCTCAATAGTTTTACAGAGGTTATGTCACATGCATTATTCTACCTAAATACTCACACAACAGCAGCAAAGCAATACAATCAGGAAGGACTGAAGGACTCCAGCCATTCCCACCATCCAAGTCAGCCGAAGGAAGAGAATAACCCCAAAGATATTCTGCATGCATGGTAAATACACCCCCATCAGGGTGCCCATGCTGGGTGACTGAAAAAAAAAAAAAAAAGTTTATATTCACTAACTGAAATTATTCAAAGGACAGATAACCAAAAAAGCCTAGAAGTTCAGTTTTTTAAATGGTAGAAACATGGGAAACATAAGGTAGACACACTCAGATACTGTAGTGCTAGACTTCCACAAAACTCGAAGCAAAGTCCAAAATCATGAATTTTTGAGCAAAATGCTGACCCTATCACATCTTCACATTTTAAGTAATTACCCTTTAGCACTTAACACCAATTACTAACAACAAAAAAGGTATTTATTTGTTTTATTGTAGATCCACAGATATTCAAGTATGAAACCTGTCGAAGGGTGCAGACCCCCAGTCAGACTGATCCTACCCCACTCCCCAGTTTATAAATTAGTTCCATGGAAAACACTCTTTATCGATGCTACAACTAGAAAAGATTCGGAAGCAATGTGGAGACATGCATAATATCTTTTTTTCCATTTTATATATTCCATGTAAAACTAATGGTTCTGCCCTTTCCTATGTTTAATGTCAGCATCAGACCCTGAATCACTTTTGACAGCAACTGAGAAAATACAGGTTAGTTACGTGACTTCACAGGAAGTGTATGGGTGGCATTCAACATAGCATCCTGCAGAATTCTCCTTTGCCCAAATAGTTATTGTCAGAGGATAGTCAGATCCAAAATTATGACATCGAAGGGCTTCATTTCAAGGAATAAAAAGTGTTTGCTGCATTGGCACACTGGTACCAGCAGCATTTCAGAGTCCCAAATCTCTGTGGCTTCCTGCCAAGGTATCTCATTACTTCTGCCTTCTGAGGTTTTCATTTGCATTTAAAATTACACTGAATTCTAAAACATAGGGGGAATGGAGTGTAACTTCTCAAAGGCTCATCCCTTTTTATACTTCCTTCTATAAACCTGAATTACAAAATATATTATAGATAGACAACACTTAAAGAAACCCTTGATCAATCATTTAAATGATAAGGATATTAAAGGGAGGTGACAGCACTTGTTCAAATTTGACTCCACACAGCATTACCTCAATGCAAAAATAAACAGGTCACATGTACCTTTTTAAACAAATAAGTACTATAGCTTTGGATTAATGACTAAAGACAAGCACATTACTCTTAAAATGATAAAATGGCTGTCAAAAACTTTACCTAAGGTAAGTCAATAGTGTATTCAGTACACAAAGCAAAATCCTAGAATGTAGGGGTTAACAGTGGGTCTGTTAGCTCCCTGGAAGAGGAGATTTGACTTGGGAAACTTTCAAATGTGGCCTTGAAGATAAGTAAGTTTTATACACAGTCTAACTGGGGAACGAGGGTGGACTGTGAGCCTGCAGATTTGGTATGTGAGAACCACAGCCTTGTCCTTGGACATCTCCAGGTGTCTCACGATTGCTGCCAAGTGTATCAGTAATGATGAGTGGCCAATGAGGAGGATGTTGCTGCTTGCTACTTGCGTGCTGCCTGCTTGCTGCTTTTTGACAATGATATAAAAGGAGTTGGGATTTTTAATAAAGGAGGCCTTTTCCTATGTTGCCCTGAGTCAGCCTTCTTGTGTGTTTTTTATTGGACCGTCGCGACATAACAGTAACACTAGAAGAATTAAGTGTTTATAAGATCACAATAAGAAGCCTAGGAATTTAGTGCTTCAACTTGTAATTACATGTTACAACTCAGAACTTTCTTGTCTGCATTAAGAATCTGCCCTGATAGATATGAAAGAAAACTGTGCCCAAGAGCATGATCTAAATCATTCTTTGTTAGAAATGCCAGGAACTGCTGACTGAATTTTTTTAAGTCAGCTTTGAATTCCTTGTGTGGCTAGAGCTAAAACAGATCAACCTCATACACACTACAACGCCGGTGAACCTCCTGAAGTAAAGCAGGCAACAGAATCATACGCTGAGGGTTTGCAATGAAGTAACCCTGTGAGACCTACCAACACGGGGCCAAAGCTATTATTCAGCTGTTCCAGTGCCATAGTACAGAAAAAAAAATTTAAAAAAAATTCCCTAAACCATTACCTGCCATTGTATAAAAATTACCAGCCTAAAGAACTAACCTGATCAGCTTTACCAGGATTATGCATAAGGACAAAAGGAATTGTTGTCCTCTGATAGTTACAGAAAGGACACTTGTGTGTAAGTGTCCTGATCAGGGCAAGGTAAGGATTTTTTACTGTTGAGTTGCTCCAGTGCTGTTGTGGAAGAGAATCTTCACAGCGTATGATCTACAGTGTACTTGTTTCCTCAAGGAAGGGGAGGTTTAGATAGACACTTTTGATTCCAACACCTTCATCTGATTCACACTGTGTCTTCAACTGCATAAACATTAACTGAGGAATTACTAAATAATATTGCCAGGCACTGGCAGATTTTGCCCAGCACAGGTGCTTCCCATTCTCACATTAATGCACACTTTGCCTCTTAAGGACACATTCCACATAATTTTATCATCTATCTGACCCTTCATTCATCAGTCCCTCCTCTCACAACATCTCTGAACGCAGCAGCCAGCATCACGTGAATTTATCGGATGTGTGGGTATGTCTGGGATAAAGGAGTTAACAGTTTGTCAAAACTGGCATCTGAGAAAAGAACTTGTTGCTCCTACACAGAAGAAGCAAGTGGACCACAGTTTCTGTGTATTCTACATGACAGTCTTCCAAACACTACAAAGCAAGTGACTTTTCAGCCTACCCTTTACACACTTCCCAACACCTGCTTCCTTTTCATAAGAATTCACTTTAGCTTAGCTCTTTCCTCTCTTCTGCCCTGTGTCCCTGCAGCTTTGCTCCACTGTTCCATCACCTTCTCCCTCTTAAGTGGCCTCTTACACCTATCAAGTCACAAGCTCATTTCAGCCACAGAGGAAGAGAAATTGTGCATTAGTTGTATAGCTGTGAGACCACTGCAGAGCAGAGCAGCCTAGGAAATGCCTAAGTGTCAGCCCATAGCCAAAACCCAAGCCACAGTATTAATAAGTGTATCTCGGGCATAAGTGTTTAGGCTAGATTTTCTTACCCTGTGGCAAAAAAATGCCTGTAAGAAAGAGCGACCCACAAACGCTACTTGAACCAACTTGTTCACAGAAATATTTAACACCAGTAACTTGCAGTGACTTGACCCTTTTTTATAGCATCTGACCATCACTAAGTGATACTAAACCAGTGCTGAAGTCTCAATGGAATACAACATGAAACAAGAAGGGTATTATTATATTCAGCCTCAACAGTGAGCAAATGAAAAAATGTAACACCTCATGCTGAATAAAGGAAATAAAACACAGAGACATTTTGAAGAACACCGTTTTAGAACAATCAAGAAGGGATAGAAAAATCTCGAAAACAGTATCTATTTCAGTGATGCAGATCATGTTTCTGTTCACTCTCATCAGCTGCAGACATATAATTTATATAAATATTGATCTGAGTCTGAAGGACACTATTTCCTTTGTGCCAGTATGATGGGTTATTAAAGCACTTGGCTGCAGGGCTCAGGGGCATTGATCAGCAATGACAGCTCTTACAGTTGCTCTGTAGCATGAGGGCAGAGAGCAGCACAGAAATGAACTGCCTTAAAAATGATACATGAACTAAAGCAGTTTATCTAATTTTTTCCATCATGAGAAGGGGATATTTCGGTAGTACTGTGATTATTAAGTGTTTTATTATAAGACTGTATTTAGAAAAGAAAAAGCAACCCCATTTCTACCTTATTACATGGAGTTGTGTCAATCATACCTGACGTGTACCTAACACAGAATGCTACTATCAAAAATATTTAGTGGGGATGCTGAAACAGGATAATATGTTCATATTAAGATGTTTTGCACTGAAATGAAATGAATTTAAAAGGATATGATTTGGTTGGGGGGGGATGTGCTAGGTCACTGAAAGGTATTCACTGAGAGACCTGTTTTACCTGCCCAGAGAATTACAGACACTTAGTAAAAGGATTGCTTTTCTCAGTTCATTTCTGAAGATCAGATCTAGAACCTGCTCATCAGCCTTGCTCTAGTTCTTGTCTACGAGATGCCAATTCCAGTGAGTGACAGGCAGGTTACTTTTTGTCACATTGGCTGGGTACATTTTTGCTGAGCACACCCAGTACAGGATTCCACATGTCATAACTGCTAATGTAATTTATCCCAGAGACAGGCATGGAGGTTAAGACTCTCTTAAGGACACTGCAGCGTTTACACAGAAAATACTGACATATTAATGCAGGATGATATTGTCACTTTTTGAGTGGTTACCAAACCCATTTATAGCAAACATCTGAGAAGCCCACAAACACACATTTTTGGGACATAGGAAAGCATAACCCAGGACAACCCAGTCATTAAGCCCACACTCTATTTTGCCCTAGAAGTAATGCTTTAACAAAGACAACAGTCCTTTTTTTTATGGCAGTAAACAGCTTGAAAATACACAAGCACTTATACAAATCATATCTAGATGTAAAAATATTAACACAACACCTTACATGGTACTCTAACAAGGACTGAAAACAAGTGGTCAGTTTCCTGTTATTTGCCCCATTTTTACCTTATGAAGTTATATGCATTTGCTTCAACCAACTCTACACTACTGTCCCATTGCCAAATTCTCCCAATTCTTTTCCAACAGGGAAGTTTATCCCTGTATTCTGGTCAGGCAGTTAATATGGAAATAAACAGAAAAAGTGATCATAACTTTCTCAAAATCACAAGGACTGTATTGTATCCTCCTCCATGCTTCTTTTGTTCAGAAAATAATCAGTCTGCTTTTGATAGTATAGGATGAAAAATATCTTAGATTATGCAGTAATACCATGTAACAGCTGATGCCTGACACCATTCCCACCCAAAGCATACTAAAACAGAGATGCAGCTGATATTCCTTATAAATCATGGCTAGGCTTCGCGAACGAAGATTTGAGAAGGGGTCTACCCACGCTTGCTACGAGCGTGCTCATGGCTAAAAAGGTCAATGCGAGATAGACAAGTCCAGTTGCAGAAGGTACAGTAGAAAGACTCCCCAGGTGACATGGACAAGACACGATTCTTTCTGCGTTGTCTTTTCTCCTTGAGAGTGATCCTGCGTGTGTTCTCAAAAGCAGCAGCAGCGTTGTAGATGGTGTGTCTCCAGGCCTCCCGATTGGAGGTCAGGGTAGACCAGTGGTGGTGATCAATATGGCCAAGGTTGAAGGATTGTTTCAGGCAGTCCTTGTATCTCCTCTTCGGGGCTTCTCTCTTGCGGTAGCCAGTGGCAAGCTCCCCATAGAGCACGATCTTAGGGAGGTGGTAGTCCTGCATCCTGGAGACGTGCCCTGCCCAGCACAGCTGTGTTCTCAGCAGCATGGCCTCCATGCTCGTGACTGCTGCCTGTTCAAGGACAGACCTGTTGGTCACATAATTCATCCAGTGGATGTTTAGGATTGTATGGAGGCAGCGCTGATGGAAGCGTTCTTAAGAGACACAAGTGGTGGTGGTAAATGACCGATGATTCAGATCCATATAAAAAGAGCAGACAGTACAACGGCTCTGTAAACGCTGATCTTTGTACTTTTCTTCAGGTGTTTGTTTCACCCCACTCTTTTATGGAGTTTACCGAAAGCTCTGTATGCCTTTGCTAACCTGTTGTCTATTTCTGCATCAATCTTACCGCCTGAGATGATGCTTCCCAGCTAATTAAACTGCTGGACTGATTTGAGCTGATACTGGGATGATGGGAGACTTCCTGAGGTGCAGGTTGATATAAAACTTCTGTTTTCTTCAAGCTGACTTCCAGTCCTAAAAGCTCAGCAGCCTCTGCAAAGCAGGATGTTAAATGCTGCAGAGCTCCTTCTGTGTGGGCGACGAGGGCGGCATCATCAGCGTAAAGCAGTTCACAAGATGATTTAAGGTCTCAGTGTGGGCCTTCAGTCGCCTCAGGCTGAATAGGCTCCCATCAGTACAATATCAAATGTAGATACCATTTTCATCATCAAGGTCTGCCGTGGCCCTTTGGAGCATCATGCTGAAGAAGACTGTGAATAAAGTTGGTGCAAGAATGCAGCCTTGCTTCACACCACTGGCTATTGGAAACGGCTCAGAAAGTGCATCATCATATCTGACTTGACCGTGCTGGTCCTCATGAAGCGAGATGATCATTTTGAGGAACTTGGGAGGACATCCTAAACGTTCCAAAATCCGCCACAGACGTTTTCTGCTCACAGTATCGAAAGCCTTGGTGAGATCAACAAAGGTTACACAGAGTCCTTTGTTCTGTTCCCTACACTTCTCTTGCAGTTGTCTGAGAACAAATACCATGTCTGTGGTACCTCTGTTGGCTCAGAAACCACACTGGCTTTCAGGTAGAAGTTCTTCTGCTATGGCGGGTTATTAATCTGTTCAAAAGAATTCTTGCAAGGATTTTACCAGCAATGGAGAGCAGAGTAATAAATCGGTAATTTGAGTAGTCTGATTTATCTCCTTTCTTCTTGTACAAGGTGATGCTGTCCTTATTAATAATGCAAAGGTAAAAATTTTGGACAGACTCAAGAATTACTGTACCACCAAGTACCACACAAAAGAAAAACATAATTAAAATGTTTAAATTACTTTTTTAATGTCATCTTATAGTACCAGAATGCAGTTATTGCACCCAGATGACCTTCATTTTGTCTTGTAATGATATTGACCACAATATTGCAGCACTGTAGTCCATGTGGTGTCAGATAAAATTGAATTTTAAGCTTCATGCTGACTAAATAACTTTGTTAACCCCAGTGTAAAACTGTGCAGAGTAAGGAGCTGGAGTATAAGGGTGTTCAGCATGGGGTAACATGGTTCTGTGAGAACACTGCTGGTTTTCAACACTATCACTATCACTGCCATTTCTTTCTGAAAGGGCTCAAACTTTGACAGTGCTATTAGATCTGCAGAATTCAAGTACTATCTTAGTGCTTATCTGAAAACCTTTATTTTAACACAATTTGCAAGCAAACTGACACGCCTGCAAGTGCCATAAAATGCAACCACACCACTTGCAGGTGGTGTTTAGCCAAAACACTCGCAGAGGAACCGCCAGAGGAGAAGAGGAGCAGTTATCCCTTCCTGATAGAAATTTAACTACCAACAATCAAACCTCAACTGCTACCTAGTCATTACAAGGCCAGCCCAAATGGGCAAACCATCTAAATGCAGATCCTTTGGGGCAGAATTCAGTTGCCTAAGTGCCTAATACCAGAATGACTCCTGAGCTGCCCCAGGGCGTTCAGTCTGACCTCCACCCATCACTCTAGAAGGGTGATGCCTCCTTCAAATCCTGTGTCATACCTACCAGGCTTGTAGATAGTGCTGTTTTAGCTGCCCTGTGCTAAGAAAAAGCAGGGGGAGGGGAGGGGGGAAAGGAGGGTGGCAGTTGTTTTGTTGTTTATTCATATCCTCTTCTTATCTAAATCCACACCAAGTGAACGGAATTGCACTGTAGTGTGCAGTGCATAACCACTACATCTGCCCCAAGTCTTTGATAATCTCTGGTTCCCTACGGAGTTCTATGTCATTTCTTTGCAACACTGGTTCCTAACAGAGGTTAAGAAAAAGCAGAAAGCAGCACAGCTCCCAAGAAATCACATATGGAATCATCCCATTCATCAGCTGGCCATGGAGAGAATCTTTACTTACTTTTGATACTTTCTTCTTCGATCCATCAGTGCTTTCTGCTTCTTCATGTTCCTTAACACCTTGGGTAAGATTTGTGTAATTGACCAACTTGCCAAGGAGAGATGACACTTTTGGTCGTATATCAAGTTCTTCCTGTGGAAAAAGACAACTACTCAACTTCTGCAGTTCACAGCATTTATGAAGAGACTGTGGGGGGGGTGGGTGTCACACCTTCCTTGGCATGCCTGAGGCTACTAGGGAACACACCAGGAAAATCATCCAGGGAATGACAGAGTATTTCACTGTGCCTGAACCACTGATTAGGGGATTTAATTTTCTGTAAGGATGGCAACTCTGACAGCAAAAGGCTATACCAAAAGGTCTGCGCTGCATCCTTCTCCTTAGGTGCTAAAAAGCGTAATTACAGCAATAAAGAAGTCTGAGCCTTGGCAGACTTCTTGTAAGAAAATGAATGTGTACCTTGCATGCATCTCTAATGTCAACTTACATCAACAGATATACTTTTAAAAAGGTCAAGTTGCCAAACAAAGCAGAGGGATCAAATCAAGGGGAAAAAAGAACCAGAGTAAAATCTTCCCTTCTCCTTTCTCTTTGAAAATAAAATGTCTCACGTGTCTGCACAGTAAGTAATGTACGGTAAAGAGAAACAGTGAGGTGGGGATGTGGAGGGTCCTGTTGGGCTTGGTGTGGCTCCCACTGGCCTCTGGTGTGAGCGTCTGGTCCTCCTTCCTTCTACATGGAAACAGTCACATCTCTCTGCCCCACGGTCCTAACCAATCAGAATATCTGACCTTTTTCATCACACAGGGTATCTCTGCCTATTGGTACCTCAGACAAGAGACACATGTGCTCAATCCCTCGCATCTTGGAAATCACATTAGGAGCATAAAAACCAGTTAGAGAAATCACCTCAAACAAGGCCAGATTTCTGTCATAGTAATCACCTCCCTTGCCTGCTTCTGTACTATTCAGGAAAGGACTGTTTTCCTTATGGTTGCCATGACCTGCAAAGAAAAAAAGAAACAGGTTTTGAATAAGCAGAGAAAGACAGACTTTGCAACCTTGACAAATCCATAGGGAATACACTTGTTTAGTCAATAGAATTTATTTTAGTATCTAAAGTTATGCAATGTTAGCAGTATCAGAGCTGTTACTCTAAAGGCAGAATTATTTCTATTTCTACTCTCATTAAAATAGAATAAACAGTCACCTAAAGTAAAATTTACAAATAGGGTCACAGCTACAAGGCTTTATGTGCCTTTATTCTCTAATGCTCACTTCTATAACTATTTCTTATACAGAATAGTGACAGTTCTCACGCACTTAGAAATCATTATTAATGCTAAGAGCAACTTTTGAGCCATTATGTCCAAACTGATTAGGTAGATTTAGTAAGACTAAACCCTTCAAAGACTACATTCTGTTAGTACAACAGAAGTAGACAGATGCCAAAGCACTCCCTCCCTTGTTTTTTATTGTTGGTTTTTTTTACTATGCCCACTAATCCCAGATATTAAACACACTCATCATGACTTTAGCCTGTGTTTTGAATATTTAGACTGTGCATTCTTCAGACTCGTCTTAAAGTTAAAACCTAACACCAAGTACAGTAAAAGCAGAGCATTCACACATATAATGAACAATGTTAAAAAAAATGACATGGAAGATCAGTAGAGCTTTCTGTAACAAGTACTAACTTAACAAAAAAAAAGGTCACTATATTTTAAAATAACCTTAGAAAAAAAAAAAGATTAGATTGATTTCCATCTTCAGAAGTTCTCAGACCTATGTCTCCCATTACACTCTGTTTAACAAACAAAAATTCTTTTCTTCTGCCTGTACCTCTTCACTCCCTACTCTTTCAGCCAATACAAATGAAAGATTTCCAAGAGCATCTCCTTAAGAAAGGATCAATCCAAGGAATACTTTTTTTTGTATTTACAAAAGAAATAACCACTAAAGAAATTAAAAATGGAAGAAAAAATTATTATCTCAAATGAAAATCCTGCAAGTTAAAGAACTATTGTACACTGAACACATCGAAAGTAAGAGATTAAACAGCTGGATTTTTTGGTACATATTTTCAATTATCAAGGTAGTTAATTCAACACTACTACACAAAATTATTTTAATATAATTGTAGTGAAAATATCTGTGCCCTCTCAAATCTGAATCAACTTACAATATGAACTTAACACGCAAACAGAAGAGTCCTCCCCTAACCACAGGGATGAGTACACAATGCACTGTTACAAAAGTAATTCTTATAAACCAAAACAATTATGAGAACATTCAGTACTATTCTTACTGAGGGGAAGGGATGCACGGAAAGCAGCACAATTTGCTGGAAATTGCTGACAGTGCTTTGAACAAAACTGTTGGAAAAACAATATTCACAAGCAGAGGGATTTTTAAGCTTCTGGAAGTAAACAGCTGATCAAAAATATAGGTAGAGAGCAGTCTGCTGTGTTTACATGCCTATTGCCTTTCTCACAGTTCTGACACAACTAACCCCAAAATGTTAATTAGCTGTTGCCTTGAACAAGTGGACTCAGCTTATTTGCCGCCCCCACCTACATGTAAGAAAGGCTCACTTTGCTGTACATTGTAGAATTTTCTACTAGAAAGGCATCAGTAAGCGTAACCATACAGCATCCAAATCAAATGTTTATCAACTTCAGCACAGGTAAAAATCTGCAAAAACTCCCTGTTTGCTGTATTTCTTAAGTCTACACTGGCAGCAGGATTATAGCAGATCAATTTTGCTGCAGCGCTCTAAGCTGTGCTGCAGTCCCGCCCTTCTATTGTGGTTAAAGTACATTTGTGATTTTTGCTGAGGAAATGGAGTTATCTGCCATAAACGTTTAACTCATTAAATTAGACACAGATGATGGTGCAAATGATGACAACAGCAACAAAAATAGTCTATTTGAATCTTCAAGACTGGTCTCTACAGTATCTTCTCACCATTACACTTTACCAAACACAGTAGGGTCATGAGCAACTTCGGTTTGTTTCCTCATTTTCCATATACTATGTAGGAAATCCTATATACTATATAGGATCCTGTATACTAGCTCTGGTGACAGAATGTTTGAAATATCAGACTGATTTTTTTTTTTTTTTAATCACAGTGATTTTTACATCAATTCTTTACTGCCCTACTTATTCTTCCATCAGGAACCTTACCTTACCATTGTCTCAAGTCCGTATAATGGGCACTCCCTTACTTGTAATGCTTACAGAAATTCTCACCATTTTGATGTATAAAATCACACTGTTGCCATGATAACTCATACTTTCAATCTCAGATATAGTATGACAACTGTTCTGCCCTTTCAAAATGCCAAGTCTCTCATTATCATCATTGGCATAACCTATCCTTATTTAAGAAGGATCACTTCATGCCATATCCCTGAGTCTGACCTTCAACTTAATTATTTTTCAGACGCAACTTCATTTTATCAGCAGGGAATTTTTCACAATTGGTCTCTTCAGAAACTCTCTCAAAGAGCTTCCATCTTCTCTCTCATTCTCAATTTGTATTTTTAAGCATCATCATTAGATTTTCCTTCCAAATTTGACCCCTGGTATGCTTGCTTTTTACACTTTCCTGCACACAGGAAGCCCAAACAAAGCAAACTGCAATAGAAAAATTAGTAGAACTAGTGACTGGAAATAGAGTATTGTTTTTGCTGTTGCTAGGGCACATCTTCCTCTAGATGGAAAAGTTTAGATGATAGAAAAATACAACTGGCTTTTTACCACATTCACAACACTAGTTCCATTATCCTGTAATAACATACAGCCTATGAATTACTGCAGACAATGCAAAAATAAAAGTGGTCTTTCCTACTAATCTAATGAAGTGCCACATTAAAGCCCCTCTCAAACATTGTACACTTTCACCAGGAAGTGAAGGAGTGTAAATTTATATGCAAGTTCTTTACAATGACACCCTGGTTTCACTTCACCACTAAGCAGAACTGGATGCTGCAGAGATGTGCGCTGATTCAAGAAGAGTGCTACATTGCCATGTTAAATACAGCTAATTAAATGATAGCCAAAAATCACCCTCACCACACTTGCATGTTCAATATAATTTCTACTTTTCAGACATATTCTAAATTAAAGTGTTCATCTTCCTTTCTCTCTTTACATATTCTGTTTCCATTTCACAAGTAAAACCTATAACAGATGACCACTTCCTCCAGAAGAATCACAAATGTACTTTGACAAAATAGAACAGACCAGACTGCAGCACAATACATAAGCTGCACTGCAATAAAAGCTTTGTCGAATATATTCTGTCTGCCAATAAGCAATACTAGCAGCTTCAAAGAGACTTACTTGCACGGGAAGAGCTTGTTATCTCCATCAGTTTTGGAAGAGAGCGGATGTGACCTCGGAAAGCTACTCTGGGGAATTCTTGCCCCAGCTTCACACGAGGGCAGTTTACATTCTGAAGCATGAAGTCTCCTGGGCAAGCACCATCCTCTGACATGCATACATTTTTCCACATTCTTAGTTATTGATTCTTTGGTCTTGGCCAGTAGCTACGTGGTGTTAGTTTTCATCATGCAAGATTGTTTTGCAAGGAACGTTTCTTAAAGAGGGAGCTATATACTCTGCAATAGAGAACAATTTATTTGCCTTAGTGCCTAATTAATCTCAAATTTTGAGGCAGGCAAACTTTATTCCAAATAGGCTCATGTTTTCTCTTCACTTGTTTCAGTGCTTCTCAGTCTTCATTATCTTTCAGTAATTAAAGGCACTTTATTTCTGAATGTTACCAGTTCTCTTCCAAACCAAATAATTCTATTTGCAGCCACCACTACAACTATACAGTTCATCTAAACATCTCCAGCATAGTTCCCTGACTATTTTAACGCTCCCCTACTCAGATATGGACACCGATCTGTAGAACAAGTTCCTCATCACATGGATGACCTGAGTTCCTTAAAATATTAAAGACGGTTCATGAACAACACCTACAAATCCTAAGTGTGCATACTCCCAGACATGCAAACACAAGCCCAGAAGACAGAATAAAAGCTTAACTTTTATCTCATTGCCAAGAAAAAACACTGTGGCTAAATCTGTAGCAGATATTTTACTGACTGCTTTTATTTTGTTCTTCTCCAAAAGGTTAATGTTGTCTTTATTCCAAAAAAAAAAAAAAAAAAGGAGGGAAGAAGATTAAGAACACAGAGGACAGTATTCATGTTACTGTTTTCCTTCTAGGAGAGGATTAGGCCAGACAGACACAGTTTCACTGCTTGAGCAGGCTGAATGCAAGTCTTTTGTGCGAGCCATTGTATTTTTTTTAGTAACTGAGGGATGAAAACCAGAATTTAGAGAGAATTACAAACAAAACACATATATGAAATTACCTAAAGAACAGATTAGTGAGGATAAATGAAAGCTGAACAATTAGGCACAGTGACATTATTATAAAGAACAGGAAAGTTCACAGAGGTAAGGTCTACTCAGCCAGATTACTAAAATAACCATCCCTGTAAGAAGGCGGCAAGAGCAGTTGCATGGCTCGACCTGCCAAGGTTTTATTCTCCTCTACTGTCAGCTTCTGAACTCCCTTTTAGAAAACCACCATCCCCTACTTCATCATGTTCAGGTAAATAACTGGAAATTAGCGCATCGTGAAACAATTGCCGATTTTTCCACTTGGACACGACTAACTCAGAGATGCTCACCTACTGCTTATGGAAGCTTTATCCACCTGGCAAGTTAAGGCACGACAAAGGCACGGATAGTCTGACCAGTTTCAGTCTGGCCAGCAGAGATAATACGGGAAGTGAAACAGAGTAATACCAATTAAGCTACAACAAGGCTTAAAATATTAAAGAAAAAAATTCTGAAGAAGGTTGAACTTTGATAACAAACTTTTGCTACTTTGCTTCTACAGGCAATCTGAGCTAGTTAAATGCCAGCTGGCAGAGGCACGCACACCACGCCCATGGTATCTCAGGAGGAACAGCCTCAG